AAAACACATTCCAAATAAGACAAACTCGTAATGAAATTACGCTGCTTTATACGCCAGAATGATATTTATATCAGAAAATAATGCGATTGAATGTCATTTTCTTGAATAATGAATGCCTAAAACCACAAATAATTTATCGTAGGTGGAGATCATCCGGATAAAACTTATCTTTCATAAGTATGAGTATAAATTCACCTGGGAGTAACGCTCATTAAATCTAATTTATTTTAGATCTAAATGAAGATGAGGCAGAGGATGACGAACTTTAGCAACTATAGCAACTACTGTATGGCCTTTGCAAAATCAAATAAATTTGTTTTGTGTTATAAACTCTTATCTCGGTATCAAGTTAAACTAAACATAAAAATACACTGTACCTATATCTGATAACAGTTACATTTTTAGTGGTTGACCAATTACTTAGAGATTGCTGAATAATCTGTCAATATCATTCGATTACTTGGTTTATTTATTGTTAATTAATTGTGTTTATGTTGTTTTTGCGCACAATAAAAGTTGTCTTATGGATTTTAAACATATGTTTAAACGATATTAATTTCTTCTGGAAAATACAATTGCGCCTCCAAAAATATAATTGTTTTATAAATAATGTACTGTTAAAAAGTACTAATGTATGTGCTTTACTTTAATATCAGGACTTTTTGGTTGTGTGTGAACATTTTTCAAATAAAATAAAATAACTTAAGTAGCGACTATTAATGTACGACTACTGATTTAAACCATGGCCATTTTTTCACATATGCAAACTTTTGCCTAAATATTGGTTTGTGTCTGGGGCAAAAATTCGATAACTTCATTGCTTGCTGATTGATAAAATTTCGGTCACCCTGTACAATCATTTTTTCCTCAATAGTAGTAAGTCCCCTGTTATATCCATTATCAGTTACTTTACACCTAACATTTCCCGCAATTTCAATATTCTCACAATTATTTGCATTAAGTAATTACCTCGAAACTTGTTTACTCTCAACTATAGATAAGCTGGGCGTTCTATTTTTACATCCTATACAAGTCACATTGTTGATAGGCGGGCGCCACGGGACGTCTTCTTTTTAATTTTTTTTTCTGAAATGGGCTTGACAAGTGCAAAAGCACCAAGGGATTAATTTTTAGCAAATGCACCGAAGGGTGTGATTCGATTGTAACGCCACACAATATTTGCCACGAGTTCAATCATCAGCTCTAAATACGACCTTTCCAAACTTGGGGATTGAATGAAGAAGGTTCACATAATAGGCCGTCTCGACCACCAGACTTATATAAATCAGCTCAAGTATTGTGGGGCCGTGCCAAAAAGGACAAGTCTTCCAGGTATATCGAACCAGACCAATAAGAGAATGACAATCGCACTTCAGATCAGAACGAAAAGCAGTAGTAATGTATAGGCGCCTGCCGCAATTTATGAGCAATAAACCCAAAGACATGCGGTAATTTGTCGAATTATTCAAGTTGAGTTTAAACCTAAAATATCGCGCACAAACTTGAAATAAATCAGTGGACGGTTGAGCATGAGAATACCTAGTCGATGCTGTAGTACCTAATTGCGAACTTAGTTCAACGTTATTTATTCAACTTGGACATTTGAAATTGTTAGTTGAAACATTAACTTGTGAAGCAATGAACGTTTTTTGATACATATCTACGGAACTTTCGAGAATATGAATTTATTTCCCAGTACCGGGTTCGTTTGCTTTTCCAATTCAGTTTTTTATAATATCGGGAAAGCATTCAGATGGATTTTCATAAAACTTGCCGTGGATTTGTTCCTACGCAGGGCCATATTTTGGTAAAAACACGCATCTTCTCATCATTCTCCCGCTATTAAAAAAAAACATATTGTCTTTAAGAACTTTCACAAAAGCAGAGAATCCGAACATTTTCTCTTAATTAAAGTTAGTTCATATAGCAATCATTTGAGCCAAAGAATGTCTCAGTGCCCTTTTGATTATATGCTTACGGGACACCCTGTTTAAGAAAAATTTTTCAATGTCTTAAAACATATCACCATTGTGGCATTTCCATGGACGCACTGAATTTTATTTCGATTAGAATATTGAAGGAAATTTAATACGGATAGAAAAAAATCCCAAAAATATGCTGTAAAAGTGAACATAATGCTTGGAAAATCATTTGAATTGGATAATCACATCATGTATTTAAGGACTACGACTACAGGTAACTTGCGGATAGTCGCTTAATTAAACTTGCCTATAAATGGATACCCATTAAGCAGTTATATATGGGAATTCGGTTAAATGGAAAGAAAGTTGTTGAGCCGTAAATAAATTCCGACATTCAACTTTTCAGTCAATTGGAGCTGACATTGATAATGGTACCTCAAAACCGAAACGTCCGATTCCTAATTACAACAGGGCAATTTGGCAATTGACAACCGTTCAAAAATGCTGTTTTAAAACATTCTCTCACAACTTGCAATGCGGAATGCAAATTATCTATGAATGTAATTATAAGCTGTTTGCCGATTTCAACATCTTAATATCTTATCTTAGCTTATCTTAATATCACCTCACCATTATCACAGTATAGCAAAGCAAAACATTTTGTGCTATTTACACAAAATCTATTTCCAGCGGTCCAAGACGTTTAATTTATTCAAAATGATGTTTCATTCGAACTTTCCGATGTCTGGTTCTTTCAGCATTTTCTCATCAATTCAATGGAAATTATCTCCAATAAAAGTCCATAGCGTCCATCCTGTGAGGTCATAGAATAAAATGCACAGTTCCATCCCTACGCCCAAGATAAAGAATGGCTAACCAAACGTTGCAAAAAAAAAGACGGGACGCGAATAATAATTATCTACCACAGGACGACCCTTATCCCGTTCAGTTCCCACGGGTAGAGCTGCGAGCCGCTCCACTTAAATAATTGCTGTCTCTTTGAATGAAAAGGTGTTGATTTAAATTTCGCGACGCCAGAAAAATGCTCTACCTCGTATTGCAAATGTTCATATGGTAGTCCGGCCGGTGTTCAGGGCTCCCCCTGTCTTTTGTCTGATGTCCGTCCTTGTCCTTTATCCCAGTAATGGACCCAGCCGACCGTCACACTTTTGTATATCAAGATTATATTAATCGATGGAAATGATGCAGAGACAAAATTTTGATCTTTATCTTTTGTCTCTGTTGATCATCATTTTTTATTTTGAAATAAATGTAAAACAGCTTTTGAAGCTTGTAAAAGATTATCAGATGAGTGGCAGTATTTGAGCCGATTAAGGAGGTTTATTATTTAAAGAACACATTCTCATAGAAACAATCGTTTATGAAGCTGTTTACGCGAATGGGCTGATTAGCAAGCCTTTGGAAGCAAACAGCTGAAAAATAATTATTTATTTTTATTATGGATCAAAAAAAGATCATAAAAGGAGAAAATTGTAGTCAATGTTCTGGCAAAAATTAAGCACCTCAGGCAAATTTTCTACTGGGTAGCAAATGAAAAAAAATTGCAAATTTGAAATTTTGCAAAATACTAAAAAGAAAAGTGGAGGCAACTTCTAGTTGGACGTCGGACGAAAAATCGGTACTTTTGGATCTCAACACCAAACGGTTAAATATAAACTTTATTTACTTTTTAAAAATAAAATATTAAAATTTAGGTTAAAATATTTTTAAACTATCTCTTACATTTACACAGTCGTCACAAAAAAATAACTCTTTGGTCTTAACCAAGTCAAGTTTACTTTCAAATATTTCAATCATTCATACGTCTAAGTCTATATACAATTTAATTTTTTTTTTCTGAAATTGACTGGAAATTTTAAACTTTACCATGAATCTGTTGAAAAGCAAAAGTTATCACTGCAATATCTAAAAGTTTATTTTTTAGACCACTGTGTAAACTAAATAAACAAGATGTGCGATTTTTTTTTATTTCGAGATATTAAGTCGTTATACGCGTATATATGTTAATACGTGGTGTTGAAATGCAAAAAAAAACCGTTTTTTTTTGTCCAACCTTGGAACTTTCACTCATTGTGGATTGTCTCATTTGCAGCCCTCCAGAAACTTTACCTTAAGCTAATTTTTTTTCTTTTTTCTCAATTTTCTTTTTCACAAACACGCATCAGTGGAAAAAGAATTGCACTAAATAACGTTTCAAACAGAAATCAACTCACTGGCAGTAGTTAGAATTTATCCAGTTTCAAAATTAGCCGAAATTTGTCCGTGTAACGTCTATTTTGTTTAGCAGTTCCGATTTCTGTTATGATATGTCGAACAGACTCTGTTTATTAATTTTTTACATTTTTACTATTTAATTAGTTTTTCAATTAACACCGCGTTAGCTAGTATTCTATTCCAGGCATATATACAAGGAATCAAACACATCAATGCCAAATTAAATATATGCAGCTAAAATCTAAATCCAACACTGACCATTTGTGCAGATCGGCTCTTTTTATCCCATACTTGGGTCTTTGTTGCTCTCGTTTCGTATGGATGGGTGAATGGTGCCACGGGAATAGCGCTTGTCGTCGCTAAACAGGTTATTCGGGATCTGGCTTAGCATCATAAAAACTTAATTTTGAAACGGGGCGGAGGCGGTTAAAAATCTGCCAAACGAGTTTCTTCTTTGAACCATCATCATCATCATCGTAGAATATCATCCTGACCTAACTGTGTGAAACGATTGCACGTACAATCGCGACTCGGAATTTTATCGATCTCGGAAAGGACAATGGTAATGGGATTTAAAATTGGAATTTTACTGCTGGTCATTTCAGTCTCAATAGGGCATTGTAGTATGTGAAAATGATATTTCGAATCCACTGTAAGCACATACATTCAGGTTGTTAACATGCAACCGTGATGTACTTCTAAGCGGTTTTTCGAACAGATTGCACAATTTCTGGCAAGGAGTTGGACATTTTACTAATGCTAATGTCCAGGAAAATTCGTTGACTATTTATTGTTTGTCAATTAGAGACTGGCAAATTCCCATCTTGCCAAATAAACGACAGACTGCAACAGGTAACATTAATAACATACGCAACCATCCATCAATTTGTAGGCTCAATATTTGCTGGCTAATTTATTAGGCAAGTTTGTCATCCTACAGTCTTAAGACATAAAAATGAAATTATGATGGCAAAATGTGGATCAAACAGGAAAGACAAGAGTATTTTTTTTAAGAACCGAAACCACATTATTAGTATTATTACCTACTGTTAAATAAAATGAAACATCAAAAAACCGATGCGCCACTAGTCCCAATTAGCAATGCGAATATGCAGATTGGGTTAGGAATTTTCCATAAGACGAGTGAGGCGAAAAATGGATAAAGCATATATTTTACAGTACATAGTTTTATATTTAGCCATTTTCCCAATAATCAGAATGAATGCGAATTACGGAAAATGTAATTAGAACAAACACATTTTCCAAGCTTATAAAAGGCCGTTTTCATCAATGAGCATCTCCATAAGCAACAGACATAAGCCAATAATCTCTAAATATGTCCAACAAAAACAAGCTCGAATAAACTAAATGCATCGCTTATCTAATAGCTCTTTCAGAATTAATCTAGGAATACGTCTCTCCAATGCGTGTAAACTTTCAAGAAATTTACAATTATTTTAAGAATTGGCTCTATTTATGGTTGATAAAATAGTTAATAAAAGTTTTCTCAACGTTCTGTATTTTTGAAAAAC